GCTAACTTCTTCACTTCCATTTCCAGCTGTCCCATTTCCTCCCACGCAGCGGCTCACTCTGAAGGAGGTGTTTGAGGATGGGAAGCCTAGGCTTGACGTCTTGAAGAGCCACTTGGTAAAGGAAGGGCGCCTGGAAGAGGATGCGGCGCTGAAGATCATCAACGATGGGGCTGCCATCCTTAGGCACGAGAAGACAATGATTGAAGTGGAGGCTCCCATCACAGGTCAGAGAGGTTTCTGCGGCTGGAGTCCTAAATAAGGGCCACCTAGCAAACACGAGCTGCTCAAAGTGCCAGGCTTTCTGCTGCGTTCCGTCCATCGGCAAGGTTTTTTTAATTGCCTGAACTCTCGGCGGAGAGGATTTTTGCTGGTGTAGGGCGAGCACATCTTTGCGGAAGCTGGATGTGAAGCAGGGGTGGCTTGGGTCAGGGCACAGCCATGCTATGCTCCTTGTTGCTGTCGTGACCTTTCTTTTCTTAGCATGTAATTCTGTCCCTCTTTTGTGCTCTTCTTCCTCCCCTAGTGTGCGGTGACATTCACGGGCAGTTTTTTGACCTGATGAAGTTGTTTGAAGTTGGAGGATCACCCAATAACACCCGCTACCTCTTCCTGGGAGACTACGTGGACAGAGGCTACTTCAGTATAGAGGTGACACATAAAGTTGAGCCTGGGGGTGCTAGTACTAAACCAAAAGTGTTGAACTAAACTAGCAAATACAGACCTCTCTTACGCTGGATTTTATGCTCTAGTCTAGTTTTGCATTCAAGGAAGAACGTGTTGTAGGTAACTTACGGTATGATTTTTGGCAGAAATGTCATGATTTTGAATTGGATCCTCACCCAGTAGCAGAGTTAAACAGCAGCAGTGGGGTTAATGACTAAACTCCAGCTTCTGAACTTGAGTTTTAATATCACTTGTAGCTGTCAGTCAGGGGAACAAGAAGGAGAGCTGATTGTATGTTGCAGGCAACAGGATCCTACCAGGCAGTGGGAAGCAAATGTTTTAAAAACTTGCAGGATTCAGCTTTGCAGGGAAAAGAAAGCGCTACACTACTGAGTCACTGCTTCCCTACCGTCCCCCTGAAAGCATCAACCTTGCAAAGCCAGAGATGGGGTCAGGAGAAAGGAGCAATAAATCATCTGGGCTGTTGTACGTCTCGCTGTGACCCGGGAGCTTAGCGCCGAGGCATTTAATGGTGTATCTAGCCATGCTGTGCCCACGTGACAATCTGCCTTGTCACAATAACGCTGTCACCTTACAGACATCAGCCGAACATCTGGTGGCGTGTTAGGATTTTGCAGCTCTGTGGGATGCCACCGACCAAGTATTGGGTAACGCTGCGAGTTGTTGGTCTTAAAGAGCCAAGTAATCGATGGGTCCCCGTGGTTGCTGCTGGCTCGCTGAAGGACCTGGGAGCGTCAGAGCAGGCAGGATGGGAGAGCTATTAGCAAATGCCACAAACCCCAAGGGATTGCAGCCTTCTGGTTTCGCAGAGGCAGAGCCGGGTGGAAAAGGAGAGCTTATTCCAGTTGGAGGCAACGTAATGGGGGCATTTGGGGAAACAGGGGCACAAAAGGTAGCAAAACTGGCCTGGAATAACAGAGTAAGCGGTTCCTCTTCAAAGAGGTAAGGTGCATACCACAGTGCCTGAATAGCGGAGCTGTTGGGTCTGCAGAGGAATCTTTCTCAGTTAAATTTTGGGGAGGAACTCTCGCGGACAGCGATGAAGGCAGTTAACGCGAGCGCTCCTTTGAAGGATTCTGCAGAGGATTTAGGAGGGTACCGCCGACAGCTTGTGCTTTAGCAGTGTTCTGGCTTACTTCCAGCCTTATGCTTGGTGTGTTCCGAAATACTGACGGCGAGCCAAGGTGTGACGCCGAGCAGTTTTCCGGGGCAGCGAGGACGGATGCTGGAAAGGTGGGGTTGTGGCTGCTGGGATTTCTGCAGGAGGAGCCCCGTAACCCCTGGGGAGGAAGGGGAAGAACAGGCACCTGAACGCTTGTTTAAATGGCTTGGCTTGTGCAAGTTGGGTTTGCAGTTTGAGCGTACTTAGCTGGAAAAGAGATTATATTATAGCACAGAAACTCTTTCTGAGATAAGACGTGGGGGGTTTTTTTTGTGTTAACCAAGAAACCTTCAGAGAAGAGTTGTCGTACCCTGTGTCTACTCACGAATTTTACAGATCCTGGGTGGTGAAGTGCTTCTCCCACTCTCTGCTCTCTCCCTGCGGTTGATCTGACATGGGGATTTTACTCTTGGATCCGCAGAAATGAGTGCCAGAGTTGGGGATCGCTGCCCTCGTCCCTCCAAGCTGTGACAGTATGGAGGAATTCCAGGGGGATGGATGTTGAGTCCGCCTTGGAGAACAGAGGTGGTGGGAAGAAGCATTTTTTTTTTTTTTTTTTTGAGGAGAAAAGTCTGAAAAATATAGTTAAACCTCATTAGGTCTCTGTTGTGACCTGCCACTCCGACCCAGAGCCTGCGCAAGGCAGCCTGGTGTTTTCAGGCTCAAAAGCCTTGGGGCAGCCGGTCTTTGTAAGGTCTGAGCACAAAGTTCTTGTTTCCGTGCTGCTTTTGACCCTCCTCCTTCCCCTTTCCCCCCACGTCTGCGGAGGGAAAGCCACCGAGCGCTGCGTTACCCCACAGAGCCGGCATTGATCTTTCACGAATCAGGGTGGGCTTTGATTAGTACATGCGGGGGCTGATCCAAATGTCACTGATAAAGCAGAATCTAGAAGGCTTGATTCCCTTATTCCTATTGATGTGTGCCTCTTCTTTCCACCTACTGCAAAGTGCAGCCGATGTGTTTTCAGAGATTCCCACCTGGGTGTGCAGAAACTGGTTTCTATAGTGAAACCACAGGAGGTTTGCAGCTGGCGTGGAGGATCGCTACAAGTGGAGAGTTAATGGTGCCGAATGGGTGTCTTTGCATTATATGTTTTTTAAAGACTTCCATAACATGCAAAGCTGTAGCAGCTGGACTCTGAAGTGCGGAGATGGCTGATCTGTGAGCGTTTGGGGTTTGGAGTTTTGATCGCTTTATCCCAGAGGCTCAGGTGATGGAAAGGCGTCCAGGTTTCCCCTGTGCTTTCACCACTGGGAAGGTGGAGAGCACCAGCATCATCAGCCTTTCATGAGTCACCGCACAAACTTGTGCATCCATGCGCTGGGTGGGGAATATTATCGAGTGCCTGCCCAGAGCAGCTGATAATCATGACCTTTTAACTGAATGAAATAGGAGGTAATTGTATAATTGCATCCTGATGCAGGCAATCAGGAAACAAGATGCAAAACTGGGGGCCAAGGAGGTGTTAAGGCAAACCGTGTTGCTTGTTGGCAGCCCAAATAACCCTTGCAAGCTTTCCCCATTGCTGCGAGTATTTGGTTGTCAAGGTAAAAGGAGCAGTTTGTGGCTCAGACAAAACCTTTAAAAGCCCCGAAAGGCTCTGTTCATCAGCTCAGCTGGATGTCTTCAACAAATTATTTCTGGGCCTCTGGCTTAGGGAAATTCTCATTTTAAAATGTTCGTTCCCAGTAAGTATAATGAGGCCATGAAACGTGGTTTGGTTGGGTGGTTTTGTTATTTTCTTTTTTTTTTTTTTTTTCTTAAAGAAAAGGGTTGTGGGGGAAGAGGGGAGGGAAGCAGCCGTGTGAAAGCTGCGACGGTTGATGTCTGGTGGAAGAGGACTTGCTTTCAGTCCGTGCCACAAAGCCCGCTGTGACGGCGAGACCGACTGACCGGGCACGGCAATTGGGCTGAACACCTCCGTTTGGAGATGCTGATGAGACAGCATCCTGATGAAGCATTCTTTTGTTAGTCTGCAAGTGGGAAAGATGCTTCCTTCAAAGTGCTTTAAGCTTTTATTTACATCTCCTAGCCCTGACGCAAGAGTGGTCTGTGCCCGTGTTAGTCAGTGAGGGACCATCCTGGTCCGTGAAGCCAGAACCGCTAGAATACAATGAAGAGAATTGTTTTATTAAATCATAAAGTGAAACAATTATTATGATAAAAAATAGAATTTATGGAAAGAGTAGATTTATCAGTAAAGATGGTGTGATAATGGCATACACCTTTGCCAGACTAATTTTTCAAATCCAATTACAACGGGACACATGATGGTTGTCTAATTATGGAACGGTACGTACGGTAATCTTGCCAGGATTGAATGCACTGTTTTATCCAGAATAATATTCATAAGAGATCCAGTCAGTGTAGTAAGGTGGGAGCAGAGGTAGATTGGTGGGCCAAACGCGGGACAGGGATGCAGGACTTTTGCTGTGCCGTTTCTTCTGTGCCTGCTCTGGGAGAGCCGGCAGTCTCCATGTTCATAACTTTCTTGGAAATGTTGGGTTTTGTAAACGGTACGAGAGATTACAGTGCAGGTGGGTTTGGCAGAAGCCCCTCTTGCTGCTGAGCTTTCCCAGTGCGGGGGGAATCGAATGGGGGCACGGACACAAACTCTCGGCTCTGGGCTTCAAACCGATCGGCAGAATAAGGAGAGATGCAGATTATTTAAGCCGAGTAAGCCGTAATTGTCTCAAGTTGCTACTAGGCTATTGTCAACACGCAGTAATCAATTCCTGGGCACAGCGCCTTGAGATGTCTGGGAATGGGAACTCTACAATGAGGCGTGTGAGTGTAGAAACCTCTTTCCAGCCCCTCCGGAGCTCACAGAGAGCTGTTAAATGTCCTTTGCTCATCGGTACCCCACGTCCATGTGAAATAGCCGCAGACCACGGGGAGCTGCAGCGGGACCGGAGACGTGTGCTCTCGCAGTCTGTGGTTGGCTTGCTACGTGTCCAGGAAGAGTTGTGGTGCCGACTGACTTCGTTCACTTCCATTTCACTTTAAAACACTTTGAATGTCTTTTTAAATATCTCTTCTGCAAGTTGCTGACCTTCTATACATCCCAAATCCTCCTCTTTATTGGTAGTGTGTCTCTGCTTTCTTTCTTTGCTTCCTACCGGTGCCACCAGGGCTGGCTGCTTTCTCCAGTCCTTAGCAAGTCGTTTGGTTCATTTACAGTGACTTTCACTTCTCAGTTCTCATGCTAGCCCAGAAAAGCGACATTTAGGTTGCAAACGCAGGAGGTTAAAGCTTTAAATCACAGAATAATTATAAAATGGTTAACAGGACCGTTGCTCCTGTTATCAGATGCAATAAAACATTATTTTCGCTAACCTTAACCACAAAATTACCTGCCACTGCCCTGTTTCTGTTTGATTTTGAAATTCAGAATTTGCTATCCAGCTTTTTTTTTTTTTCTGGGGCGTTGGATTCGGAGTTAGACACAGACATGTGCTTTACAGCTCCTTGGGGTTTTAGGGATCCCTGCACGTAGCTGGAATGACTCATGTAGAGCTTACCTCGCGGATTCAGTGCTTAAATACCATGATGTCTAGGGTGTCTGTCCTGGTAACTAACTTGAAACTGGTTTATTTTGGTTCTGGAGGTTGTTTCCGTGCCACAGCAGCCGGTTCCCGGCGATCTGTGCACCAGATCAGCAGTGTTTTTGAGCGTAAAACTGTTGACAGACTTCATGGTTCACGTTCTCAAAAGCGTGTGCCGTTTCTGTAGCATGTCAGCCTAAAGGGTAAGCTCTTATTAGAGACTTTAATCCAGATCTTCAAGCTCGCTGTCATTATGGGTTGTCCTTCCAGCACTCAAAATCAACAAGGGAAATGTGATAACATTTCCCCATACCAGATACCGCCTGATTTAGCTGTCAACTTGACAACGTATAGCACAGAAGGGTAAGAGCGTTGGCTTTCCAGCCCTTCCCTTCTTCACGTAGACTCTTTGGAAAGCCACCGTGAAACATTTCTGGGACTCCGGTGAAAACGATTGTTTCAGTTCGACTTTGGTCTGTGCCTCATCAAAGACGATCTTTTTACAGGTGTTGCTGCTCAGACGGGGGATGTGGAAAGCCCTCTTCAAAGCCAGAAGGCTTTACTGAGCGTGTTTTTTGGCTAGGCTTTTCCTGTTTTGAACTTGAACTTCACATGACTGTAGCGTAAGCAGAAAAACGGAGGCGGGGGGAAAGTCGGTGGGGAAGAGCAAGCTTAATTTTTCTGATATTTAATGGACTCGATAAAATAGCTAGCAAGATGGCTGTCTGTTATACTTGATGGTCTCTGGTTTCGATTGCAGTGGGACATCTGGAGCGCACATCTCGCCGCGCAGCTGGTTTTGCTTGGCTGCTCTGAAAATGGGTGCTTTTTGCTTTGGTTTCTGCTGGAAGGAAAAGCTGCCCCCACCCAGCCCAGAGCCGGTTTCAGTTGAATGCGATCTCATTTGTCACTTCTCCAACTCAGGCCTAATATAGAGAAATGCTCAGTGTGGCTTTCCCCCGCTGGTGAAGTTGGCCAAGATAAGATCTACTGCCGATTATGGAGCTGGGTTTCTATCAGGGTTCCACTTTGAATTCAGCTTGTTGGGTGTCTTCCCAGAAACACTTAGTGAAGTCTACGGATGATTAGTGCCCTATAAAAGGTTTTTATTACATGCCATCTCCTCCTTCCCTTTCTTGCAGTGCGTGCTGTATTTATGGAGTTTAAAGATAAATCATCCCAAAACATTGTTCCTCCTTCGAGGGAACCATGAGTGCAGGCACCTCACAGAATACTTCACCTTTAAAAAACAGGAATGTAAGTATCAGCAGCGTAAGGATTTAAATATATTAATGTGTTGTGACCAGGTGTGGGTCTTAATTTCTGTGCCTGCCATGAGTGGTATCGGTTAGCTCTGGAGCTGTAAAAACCTGTCGTCTTTTTTTTTTTTTTCCTGCGTACATAGCTCTTCTCCTATTTCAGCTCCTGCTAGAAAAAAAAAAAAATAATTAAAATAACCAAATATATAAGTCCTGTAAAGTCCTGAGTGCATGTTGATGTGGCCTTCTGGTTAGGAAGAACGAGCGTGGATGGAAGAAATGCAAACACATCTTCCCTGTCTTGCTGATGAGCCAGTTGTGTGCACAACCCCCCTTCCCTGACTTTCAGGCCCAGCAACATATAATTACTGCCAAATGACTTTCAGCTCCAGATTGTGCAGCTGGGATCAGTGATTACAATTGGAAGCAAATAAAGGATTTGTTCCTCAGTGTTTGCACTAGGGAGAATCATTACCTTTAAGATCATTTTAGTCGAGTTAAAGATAGTTTTGTGCAGCATTTACATATTTTTAAACCAACGATGATGAAAGGTCGGGGAATGACCCCTCTCCCCTGAGGATGACAGTCATTCCTTCAGGCAATAAAAGAGGGGATACAGCAGCAACGCGCAGCGCTCTATTAGGGAAAAGTTGCTCAAGACCTCAAGACGTAGTTACGGACAAGGCACAAGTCTGATCTTCAGTCCTTCAGCTCTGGATGCTGTTGGACAGGGTAGGGCTGATAGGTACCGAGATAATGACATCTGTTTACTCCAAAATGAGTTGGAAAACACCAGCCAGCTCTCTGCTGGATGCTGTAGTCATCAGATGGTGGTAGATGAGCTCCTGTTGAGCCGGGCTCAATTTGAACCAAAGAGCCAGAGGTGATAGGTTGTTTTTTTTTCCCTTTGGAAAACAGGAGATACTACCTTCCCACTTCGGTATCGTAGCATGCAGGTGAAAAAAACCTGTTAGTATCTCTGAAATAAAGCTGGAGGAAAGGTAAAATTTCTGTTCGTTTTGCTTTAGACAGAGCTATGTTCTATAGCAGTACCGGCGCTTTCTCGAAGATCTGGCTATGTTACCACACTGCTGCCCTGCGAAGGGGCTGCAGATGCAAGATGACACGCGCTTGACGTGCTGTGATCTCTGCGAAGCGTTGGGAGATATTTCTGAACGTACTTGGAGGCTTGCTGTAAAAGCTAAGCTACTTTCGGCGAGGCCGTGGTACCTCTGTTTAAAGTATTGAAACATCCTCATCACCTCCGTTAAGATGAGGCGTCCGGCGGAGGTGGTGATCGCTTGTAGCCATGAAAGATCCTGTGTGAAGATTGATTTAACTGCAGGCATCTCGGTCAAATTCTGACTCAAAGCGCTCCTGTCCAGCCGAAAAGGCAATTCCTATCTTGAATGATTGTGTAATATTGCTGTGCCAAATTAAACAGCTGCTGCGTTTCCCAGTGTATAATCTGCCTAGCAGCTGAGGCTGGTAAGACTCG